TATCCTCGAAGGGGTAGGCAGAGGTGCACATTATACCACTGTACAATGTGACACCCACTTTTCACTATTTATGTTATGAGTCCCGTGTAATTTTATAACTATTAGGCAGAAAACTGGACCTAATTTCAACGTCGCATCTGTATTTTTCTCTGCCGGAGATAGGGAACCAATATCTGGTATTGCAGTCGGCTCTCATATAGTGCGCTACGACCGCTTAGATCACTAGAATTTATTAGTTTGCAGGGACTCCAGATGAAATCCATGGACTACTGACCAACTGTGTGAATGAACTACTGGGATTTAATACATTTTTTTGTGTTTGTTGTAGTGCATTGATTGGTTTGGTGCACCTAGTAAATGGAAGGTTGATACATTGCGAATATGGTTTATAATAACATGATGTTAAACTTATTAATAGAAAAAAGGAAAATGGTGTGTTAATACCATCTGAATCCTATTGTACTACAAAACAAATGACTGCCATTATCAATTTACATAGAACTAATGCCATCTATTATAGAATCAAGGAGGCAATCTCGTGACATTATAAGTATATAACATACATAACATCACGCCTTTTATCCTCGAAGGGGTAGGCAGAGATGCACGGAGAATTAACACTCACTTTTCACTATTTATGTTATGAGTCCCATGTAATAGGGGGTGAGCCTATTGCCATATACCGGGCACTATTCCAGACTCCGTGCTACCACTATCCACCTTACAATTAATTTGTTTTATGGCATAAGTCTAAATGAGCAGACGGATCACGTGATGGTAAGCAATTGCCGTCGCCTATGGACTTTTGGGAATTGGGAATTTGAGGATTGTAGAGGATTGGGGGATTCAGGAGACTATGGAGAATGAATTTTTCAAATCGGACCAGTAATTTCGGAGATTATCGCGGTTAAACAAACAGACAAACTCTTTAGCTTTATATAATAGTATATATAATTATAAAAAACGGTGAAGGTAAACATAGTGAGGAAACCTGGGCTTATAATTCCTAATTATATATTTGAAATCACCAACCCGCATTGAGCAAGCGTGGTGATTAATGCTCAAACGTTCTTCGTGTGAGAAGAGGCTTTGCTCAGCAGTGGGCATTTGTAGGCTGTTGATGATGATCTTTATATAAATAATTCTGTTGTGCGTGTGTATGTCATTGAACTCCTCCTAAACGGCTGGACCGATTTAAATGAATTTTTCTGTACGCGTTTGAGTGGTACCCTGAATGGTTTAGATTCACAAATCAGCCCGGCAGATGGCGCTGCAGTCGGTTTTTAGGTTATTTATTTATACCTATTATTACAGGACAACGTCTGTCGGGTCCCCTAGTATAATAATTATAAGATATACGATAAGATTTAATTCCAAACGAACATCAAACTCTTAACACCAAGACATGTTCTGATCGATATAGGGGCAAGAATATCTAACACTTTCAACGTTTTCCTCCTAACAGAATCCTGTCTGTCACCACCAATTTGTCCCACAATCGCTTTCCACTTAGCTCCAAGTGACATGACATTTTCTTTTCTTTTTTAATATAAAACTCAATGTGACTGCTTCTACGAAATTGTCACCTAAGTGATATTTAATGGAGCCAATAATTTTCCTAATGGTGCCCTCAGTTGGTCTGTACTTTTTACAGTTCAGTGTAAAAATTTTAGGTCGACCTAATGTCTTTGTAGCAATTTGGGGATTGGGATGATGACAGGTCGTGGAAAGGCAATGTGTGGGTTTCGTTAGATAGAAATTTTAATTGGTTTGTGATTCGTGATTTTTGTTTTGTCTTAGTAAGAAATAGCTTGAATTATTGTTAATATTTAGTTGTAAGTTCGCTACAACACTTTCAGGTATAATGTTTATTTGAGTGCCTCGTTGGTCTATCGGGCAAGGGTCTCGGGTTCGATTCCCGGGTCGGGCAAAGTATTACTGGGTTTTTAAAAATTCTCATTTGTAGCAATAGGCTCACTTCTATTACATGGGACTCATAACATAAATAGTGAAAAGTGGGTGTTACATTGTACAGTGGCATAATGTACACCTCTGCCTAAACCTTCGGGGATAAAAAGCGTGATGTTATGTTATGTGTTTTCTTTTTATTAGGAGCATTTCATATTAATGAAAGTATCATTGTCAGTTTTGTCCAAAATTTATATAGTTAGTATGCCTCTATCTCGTCTGATGGTAAGCGATTATGATAGAAATAAATAAATAATAAAATATATAAAAAATTGTTCTATTTAAAAAAATAAAATGTTTCTAATCAGTGAATTGTCATATACTTTGTATACCTATTACATCTTTTGGTGACGCTGATAATTTATTTGCAAGTGATCCGTCCGTTTAATAAGTATAATAGAAAATATAGAATAGAAAATTTCTAGGCGAAACCCGAAGACAGATCTAGTTTTCTATACTTAAGTTTTTCTCCGTCAGTTTTTTTCCATCAACTGACACTTAACGCTTGAGTATAACAGCGGTTTACTTGGTTCTACTGAAAGCTGTTCAGTGTTATTACGTCACGCCTTGTCATATTAACTTGTCTTGTAACTTAGTTTTGCACTTTTCATACTTGTTATAAAAGTTAATTTCTTAAATGCCTCTAAAAGCGATGGCTTTTTTAAACAATGCCCCGCATTAAGATTTTCTCCTGTGTCGTGGGTGCGTTTACTAACGTATGTACAACTCCACATACACATGACACCCAAACCCGAAACAACAATCTGTGGATCACACAAAGTTGCTTCGTGCGGGAATCGAAACCGCTACACGTTGCACAGCAACCAGTATCCCAGCCACTGCGTCAGTAACCGGAGGTGCAGTCAACTTGTCATAGTAGAAAATTACTTTTAAAGATTTGTTGGTATTTCTTTTGCATAGTTCTATCATCAATGTCAAAGTAATTGCTTATTGTTATAATAATTTAAGTGAATAACTAAACATCGCGGATATCTCATGTGAATATATTTTATTGAGAAAAGCTGTACTAGTTTCGAACCACAGAGGGGCTCTTCTTCATGAGCAGCGTCCGCGGTCGCGGCGATGTTACGCTGTTTTGTAACCCGTGATTTTTAGTTAATTTAGTATGTCCCACAATAGTTATTATAAAACAATTTAACTGGTGTCAATTTCATCAAAACTCAGTTCAGTAGGTTTACAACGCATTGCAAGTAGATTTTAAAATGTGTTAAAAACCATGTTGTGGTATCAATGAACTGCCTTCCTACTTACTACTAAGATACCACTTTAGAAATTCCCAGTACCAAACAGCAAGCAATTCGAATGATCTTCAATACTTCTTCATTCGAATGCAGTTTCAACACAAACTTCTAAGCATGCTATCCAATATTAAAAGTTCAATATTACCTTCTTACTATGTCCTACAAACTTTGAATATATTACCTTCTTTTAAATTCAATATGGAGTCGTTCGTCTTGTCGCTTCGTTCTTGTTGATACACGAATATCTACCCTTCCTATATTAAATCGGTTTAAAATACTTTTCGATTGAGGAGACGGGGGAAGGACATACTATTTGAGAATTATGTGATGGATGTAGGGCGACTGACTTTTTTAAAACGTCGCAGTCGACGTATTAGTATGTAGTATGTTAGATATTTTGGGTGAAACCTAGTCCAGGAACAAGTCACGGAGAACCTAACGGGTAACCGGGGCTCCGGCTCGACGTGCAGGAGAAGGAACGGGGTGGTTTTTAGTCAGTAAGAGTCTGACACTCCCTTCCGCCTCACCCAGGCGGGAGCAGTCATTCGATGATTTTCCCCCCTTAAAAAAAATGTCCAGGAACAATAATTTAATTGATCTCATATTAACTTTGTGCGGATATCGAAATTGCGACAATTTGTACAGCTCAAGCACTCGCTAACTTAGGGCGGGAGGAGTCATTCGATGACTTTTATCTCGTAACTGCTCAATGTCCAAGTGGTCTCCGGTGACCGCTCTCCACTAACTCCATTATAGACCTTATTTCCGATGTTTAGAGACTAGTTTTGTAAGAACAAATGTTGGGTATTTTCGGTCCGATATATCAACGTATTTAAAAAAACATTTGGCCTAGCTACTAACCTAATGTTTAGCGTCAAAATATGAATTGAACACCAATTTCACACATCATCATCATATCAGCCATAGGACGTCCACAGCTAAACATAGGCCTCCCCTAATAACTTCCAGCTAGGCTGGTTGGAAGCTACCTACATCCAGCGGCTCCCAGCGCTCTTAACGCATTAAACGCCATTGGGGTCACCGGTGACCGACATTAGCGGAGGATTTGCCTTCAACAGTTTTTTGTTGGCAGTCAAAGCCTTAATCAGGTCGTCATTTACTCACATACTAACCAGCAAACTGACGGACAGTTCAATAAACATTTAATAAGGGACTGTATGTGTATATGTGTATCAGTCAAAGTCAAAGTCAAAATCATTTATTTCAATTAGACCAGGATGGCACTTTTGAACGTCAAACAACAAAAATTTATAAGTGAAGCTAGTTGCTCATTCCAAGGTGTAGATTCCTATGGAGAAGAACGAGCAAGAAACTCCATAGGTTACTCTTTTTCAATCAGGTTTACAATACAATTCTCTAGTTATATAGTTTTGTTGGTTCGATTATGTGAGAACAATGCAACACCTAAATCCAGTCAGAAATACTGAAAAAGAAAATAACCTTGAGGATAATATAATATCCTCAGTAAAAATAAAAGAACTTGACTTAGTTTCTAGTTATATTTCACCAAACTAAACAACCTGCTACCACTAACAGCTCACAAACAATCTTAAAATGAAACTAAATATACTTTAAATAAAACTTCTCTTACAATAACCTTCTTCGAGTAGCCAATTGGCTAGACGTCGTGTATGTCACTCATGAATATGAGCCCCTAGCATGGCTTGAAATCAGTCGAGTTACCTCGTCAAATAATTACGTAAGTATGTTAAACATAAATTAATTAAATTAAATTAAAATATAATATTTTCATTGCTTTCTCTTTCCTTCTGTCTTTTTAACTTCTGTCTTCTTTATTTCCATCTTCTTCGCTTCCATCTTCTTCTTGTTGGCAGATGCAGTTCTAGCAAGAACCTCTTCTTTCATAGCGTCTTCTCTTTGCTCCATCACTTCTAATAACTCAGGACACATGGTGGCATCTAAAATGAAAAAGCATGGAGAGGATTATATTATTCTTCTTGGATTAAGAAGGACTGTGGGTTCCTAGAAGTATGGTGGGATTAATGTAGAAAATTTTGGTATTATAATGGAAGTTGAATAATATTATTTCTTTATAGATCCAGATAAACCAATAATCAGAAGAAGTTACTTTTTTTAAGTCGTCCTAATTCAATACAAAATCTCAAAATAAAATAGGACATTATTTTAATAAAAATCTCATTAGTAGCAGTACAGTGGCATAATGTGGACCTGTGCCTACCCCTTCGGAGATAAAAGGCGTGATGTTATGATATGTTATGTTATAAAGTATTATTCCTTAACATTTTATTGAAAAACAAATCATCAAATTATAATGTAGTAAAGCAAATCCTCATAATGTTGTCCACGCCAATACTACGGATAGATGAAAGTGTACGTGAATCGCAGCAGAGGGCGCTTTGGACCCGCACCGCTGCGAGTCGAGCAGCCAGTAGCGGCGTGACAGTCACCGCGTCGCGAGTCGCCAAATGCTTCTCATGAATATGAGCCTCTAGCATGGCTTGAAAATAGTCGAACCACATACATAACATAACATAACATCACGCCTTTTATCCCCGAAGGGGTAGGCAGAGCTGCACAGCCACTGTACAATGTAACACCCACTTTTCACAATTTATGTTATGAGTCCCATGTAATAGGGGGTGAGCCTATTGCCATATACTGGGCACATTTCCAGACTCCGTGCTACTACTGAGATTTAAAAACCCAGTAATACTTTGCCCGACCCGGCAATCGAACCCGAGACCCCTTGCCCGGCAGTCGCACTTGCGACCACTCGGCCAACGAGGCAGTCGAATCACTCCTCGAACAATTACGTGAGTAAGCCGAAAACGTAATAATAAATGTTATTTTATAATCAATTATTTAAAAATATATAAATCAAGTATAAAAATGAATAAAGAAGATAATAATGATATGATATTGATGTATTTCTTACCCACAAACAGTTTTTCCAGCGCATTACAGCGATCCTTCTGTCTACCCAGCACATGTGCTTCATTGTATAGTTGTAGCTCTTTCATTCGTTCCAAGGCAGCCTCCGTGCGCGCTTGTCTATCTTTCGCAGCTGCTTTTGCCATATCTGAAGTTACTAGGACACTATAGAAGATAATATTATCATTATTAGTTTGCATTGGCATTATACTGCATGCAGTTAGACTGTGGGATTCGCTCCCGTCTAACATTCGGGACGCTGAGTCTATCGCTATATTTAAAAGACAAGTGAGAGAACACTACCTTTCCTCCTGATATGTAGTTTATATTTTGTATGTATTGTATGTGTTTGGTTATTTTTTATCTGTTTAGTTTAAAGTCTGATTTCTATCCCAATTTTCTATTTGTTACTACACACTGTGCCATTATATGATTATTACTTTTCCTGCCCCAGGTCCACAGGAAGAAATTCCAATAGAAATAGGTGGTACCTTTGTACTTTAATTTTATAGGTATGTTGTCCTTTATGTTGTATGTGTGTAAATAAATAAATAAGTAATATTTCATGTACACAAAAGAATTTAAATCTTTTTAACCGACATTCTAGAGCTAATTTTTCAATCAACAGATAATTTCGAATGGAAAAACCGTAAAAAATCAAAATTAATATTCCGATGAAGTTATACAACATTGGGGAAATCAACGGCCATTGTTTTGGACACAACTGGGTACTATACTACAAAAATGACAGCAAAGGTCGTTAGCAATCCAAAAGAACAATGAAATCAGTCACTGCATACTAAATTCTAAACTCTAGTTCTAAAGTAATAAAGTTGTAAATAGTTCTAACGCTTCATATGATAGTTTTTCTTTCATGCAGAATGGTAGAAAATGTAGTGGTTTGAATTTGTCTCGCAACTGCTCTGGCATCGTCAGGTACACAGCTTCTTCTTCTATCTCGACAGACATCTCCAACACTTAAAATATAAAATAAATATAATATATACAAATATATGACTGCCTCGTTGGCCGAGTGGTCTCAAGTGCGACTGCCGGACAAGGGGTTCGATTCGCGGGTCGGGCAAAGTATTACTTAGTGAGTTTTTAAAAAAAAATCTCATTGGTAGCACGGAGTCTGGAATTGTGCCCGGTATATGGCAATAAGCTCACCCCCTATTACATGGGACTCATAACATAAATAGTGAAAAGTAGGTGTTACATTGTACAGTGGCATAATGTGCACCTCTGTGTCTACTATAAAAAGCGTGATGTTATGTTAAAAATAAAATAAAATGTTAATATGTTATAATGCTATATCAGTTAACACTGCAACTTTTTTATTAGTAACTAGCTTTTACCCGCAGCTTCGCTCGCGTCACAAAAGGATAAAAAGTAGCCTATGTGACATATACCAATACACACAGCGCCATTTATACCAATTCTTTTGTTTTTCCTCGGGAATATCAATTTTTTCCGGGATAAAAGTACCCTATTATTTAATCTGGACTTCTAACTTTACGTCTGCAAAATTTCAAAGCAATCGGTTTCGTAGTTACGGCGTGAAAGCGGAACAAACAAATAAACAAAAAAACTCACTTTCCCATTTATAATAATTAGTAAGGATAGTCTGTGATTGTGACAACTTACTTCCACTTTCGGTCGCTGGCGTAGGTTCATGTCCATGAATACCGTCTGTTATAAAAAAAGTGTTATAAAAAAATTAGGAAAAAAATATGTCATTATAATTAATAGAAACAGTAAGAAATCGTATCCAATAGTGTATTTGTGTGCCAGTATTATATTATTAGCAGTGCTTTTTCAAATCGTAAATTGTTTTTGTTGCTAAAAATAATTTAAGATCTTACTTATAGTCAGAATTTTAATTCGATTCCAGATTTGACATTAGTTACTGTCATTTTATGAAATAATGATACCACATACAATAGTGTAGTGATGAACACAAAAATCGATAAACAATCAGTGTGTGTGTTTTATAATAAATGTTACAGAAAATGACAGCGATAGCGATAGCGATGACGGCGAAAATTTATAAAATAAATTATTACCATAATACATCTATCTGTTTTATTTGTCATGTTCTTTCATGATCACATTTTTTATTTATTGCACACACAATTATAAAAGAAAAGTCTTAGATCGTTAATTAATCGTCAAAACTAAATTATCGGTACAGAAATATTAAATTTCCTGATGTACTTAGTTTACGAGAATAAAATTATAAACGAGAAGAATCGATCCAGAAATATTCCATTTCCATATCGAATAATTTTGCAACGTCACTATTTAGTACTTGTCATAACGTTGCAACACTGAAATTGTCAAATCTGGAATTGAATTAAAATTCCGAGTAGTAATTGCCATCTTACCTTTGAAATCCTTTAATTCTTCTTCTTCCAAGCCCTCGTATCCATCCTGCAAGAATAGAGTAGGTGCCAGAGTAAGAAAGAAAATTAAAAATCTAATTACCTAGTCCGTCAGTTAGATAATGAAAAAATATTAGACACATATTTTTTATTTTGTCGTATAAAGTTAAAATACTTAGATAAAATTGAGTTAAGTTTAGGAGTGGGAGGTAGTTACGTCACAACGTGCTACACTTTGTAGCACGCTGTGATGTCTCACGACATTCGAAATCAACATATCGACGAAAGTATTTAATTTTGGGGAAAAGAAAAACTACGTGTTAACGTTTTAAAATAATAAAGACGGACATTAAATTATAATTTAGGAAATTACCGTATAAGAATTTTTAGCACTATCCTTCTAATATTATAAACGGGAAATATTGTATGATTATTACTCCTTCGAGTGAAACTGGCTGAAGGAATCGGAATGAAATGTCAAACAGGGGAAGATTGTGATCTGGTATAATATAAAGGCTGCTGCTTTTATCCTACAGGAACTCCGATGAAACCGCTGATACAAGCTAGTTATTTTGTTAAACTTCTTATTAAGAGATTTTAGGTTAAAGGGAGTTGAGAAAAGTAAGTATACTTTTTTTTAATTCTTGGTTTCACCTTGATTACACTATTTATGACCAGAGTCATCCATGCCATGCAGCATACGGTCGTGGGGGCACAAAGACTAACATATGAAAACTAGGCAGTTCTGAAAATATTAGATATATACGGGTCGAATTGATAACCTCCATTTTTTAAGTCGTTTAATAAAATTACCTTAGACACACCCTCACTCCTGTCCGTATCCATATTATAACTTCTAAAAGTGCTACCGCTTTTCGAGCTTTCTGACACCTCTGGTGGCGGCGGCATGTCCAAAAATTCTTCACGAAATTCTTTTCTGAAATAATTGTAATCGTTATTATCTCATTGGTCGTAAGTTCATCTTTTATACGATCTTAGCTGCTGTCAATGCCTTTGTACGCCGTTTACTAACAATAACGAACACATAAGAAATAATTATCCAATTTAGAACTGTCTTTCTGAAGTTATACATGCGCGTACCGTTCATACATTTTTTAGGGATTCATTTTACTAATATAGATTTATTTTTACCCGACTGCCAAAGAAGGAGGGTAATGTTTTTCGAGTGTATGTAAGTATGTATGTATGTCTTTTCCTTTGTGACCACCTGTAGCCTAAACGGCTTGATGGATTTTGATGTATGAGGTATCGTTAGATTTGTCTTGATTACGGGAGTGTCATAGGATACATTTTATCCTAAAAGTCCCACGGGATAAAGACATAATAATATTTTTTCTAAATTTCCCTTTAAAAAAATATGTATGCGGTATCATTAGATTCATTTCAATCACGGGAGTAATTAATATAGGATACGTTTTTTCTCAAAATTCCCACGGGAACATGTTAATTCTGCGTCAACGCAAAGCAACTCATGCGTTAGCAAGCAAAAAGATAGGGCGTGGCCTGGCATGCGGCGCGCGGCGCGGTGCGGAGGGGGATATGCTCGAGTATACAGCCCGATTGCGGGCACACGCATGAGGGCACACGTCGTTGACGATAGTCTTCTACATCTACAACATTTTCGTTAAATAAAAACAGCTAAAAAGTTATAAATAAAAAAATTATTATTAAAAAAACAAAATACCCGACTGCACACTAAAAAAAGAGTAAAACAAGCCCCACAATAATATTGATCAATCAAATGCTAAAAACTAATTATGTAATACCGTTTAAACAATACCTATATTAAAATACACTACAATATGTGTTCGTAATCGATAGTTAAATAAACAGAAACTTATTTTGAATACAAATTTACTGAATATAATTTATAAATGTTGATGGAAAGCATCGCAGGCGGGGACCACCTTGACCGCCACCAACGAAAATTCTGCTAAATGGTGCACAACCGAAATGACTATAAATAAGCCTCTGTTGGTCCCCGCCTGCGATGCTTTCCATCAACATTTATAAATTATATTCAGTAAATTTGTATTCAAAATAAGTTTCTGTTTATTTAACTATCGATTACGAACACATATTGTAGTGTATTTTAATATAGGTATTGTTTAAACGGTATTACATAATTAGTTTTTAGCATTTGATTGATCAATATTATTGTGGGGCTTGTTTTACTCTTTTTTTAGTGTGCAGTCGGGTATTTTGTTTTTTTAATAATAATTTTTTTATTGAAAATAGAGTCTCTTTACCTATAACCTTATTAGAGAATAGCGTAGATGCTTAGACTTAGTCACCCACGTCAATTAAATTAACTTGATTATCAGTACTTTACGTTCTACATAGCATTTTACTATAATTATAATTTTACAAGATTTAAGTCTCGTCCATCTTTCCCTAGTCCCACTAACCTAATCTGTGCCCCTCTTGCATTTCTCCCATGTTCAGTGGCATCCCATGATTTTCTTGCATTAGCAAATTCCTGGTCCCTTTCATCATCCCTCTTAGCGACGACTCCTCCCCCAACTGCTAGAGCGCACTCCAGCTCAACACAGGCATCTCCAGGTAGAGGCTGATGCACTGCGAAGTTTACGGGCATAGACAGCTTTTCCTTATCCTTTCCTGACGCTGTTTTTGGAGGCTGGAAATAAAAATAATCTATATAATTCTTTTATAAACTACGTTTAAAAAAAACCTCCTATTGTTTGAAGTCGATTAATTAATTTACTCAAACTTTCTGATATGTGTAACAAACACTTTTTTGAAAACCGCAAATCACTCAATAGCGAGATAACGCACAAACACACACACGTACAATTATATTTATATAATTATATATAATATAAGGTCAAACTGAGAACCCTCTTTTCTTGATGTCGGTTAAAAATTGTGTTCTGTTTCAATTAAGAATGTGGATAAAACAACCAGCTACCAAAAGGTGCCAAAACTATCAAATCACCTGCTGAACATGATTTTTTTATGGGATAAGCCGGCAAACGGCGGACAGATCACCTGATGGTAAGCAATCGGCGTCGCCCATGGACACTTGGAACATTAGAGGCGTTACCGGCCTTTTCCGGATTAGGACGATTTTTAGGAATTCAAGGATTAGGAAGATTGGAGATTGTGGAAGGGGGTAATTGGGCCTCCGGTAACCTCACTCCCACGACGAAACATAACGCAAGCGTTGTTTCATGTCAGTGTTCTGTGAGGCCGTGGTATTACTCCGATCGAGCCGGCCCATTCGTGCCGAAGCATGGCTCTCCCACACTTGATATAGTAGAATAATTACCTTCTCCTTCTCCTTTTCCTTAACAACTTTCTTTTGTATCTGCAGGTGTTCAACTTTATTAAACTCCATAGAGTTAATAACTTCATCCACTCGTTTCCACTGGGCCAGTGATAGTGCCCATCCCGATGGGCATGTCACCCTAAAAGAGGATCAAGCATTATCACGAAACAATGTAATGTAATGGTATACTACATATCTACTATACAAGGTGTAGTTTTAAAACCGTGTCATTTTTCGGGGGCATGTCACAGAAGGCATAAACATTCAATGTAAGTAAAAGTTTCGGGCCAATAGTTAAAAATACGACTATAAAAAATCGTTAAGTTCGACAGTGTTTCAAAATAAGCGACAGCAATGGTTCCTTTTGGAGTTTTATGGAATTAGGAATAATATCAATTATGTGTTTGAGTTTGTGTGTGTTAAGCCGCGATATAAAGCTAGTTACAAGACTGCGGCGTGTAGTTCGCTCTCACGGATTTCCGTAATTTAATGAAAAATATTTACCTACATTTTTTTTATTGATTCGGACTCAGAATCGATAGCCGAGTTACTTCCTAGAAAATGACGAGGCTTTAAAGCAACACCTTGTATAAAATAAGTCCTTGTACCTTGTAAATGTAAAATAACACCTTGTATAATATAAACTCCAGAACGCACGAACCGATTTCCACTATTTAGCATTCGTTGGAAAGGTCTCGGGCTCCGTGAGGTTTATAGTAAAGAAAATTAACTTTTAATCACCAAGCGAAATGTTACATAAAACGAAGCCATCTGTTGGTGAAACGGAGTTTGCTAGTTATTAATACAAATTGAGAATATAAGTAGACTTACTCGATTGAATAAAACTTTGCTTCATGAACAGGTTTGATCTGTAAAATATAATTAAAATTTACATAATGTATTTGTTAAATATAAGGCACAAAGGAAAAAGTATCTTAAACGAAGAAAAATAAAATAAAAAATACCTTTGGCAAAGACCGACTGGATTTGTACGCGTTGGATTTGTGAGCTTTCCCACCTTTAAACATGGATCGGGCACTTGTTACGTTTAATTCTCTTGTACTCTGTCAAATTTCAAAATATATAAAAAGAATATTTGATCAAATCTTGAAAAAGTACTAAATAAAAATGCTTGGATGCAGGCTAGTCCGGCTCCACAGGATAACTAAAAACACTTGTTTTAATGAAATCGTAAATAATACAGCCATATTGCTAAATTGTATATTTTTTAACTTAGATAACCATTGTAAATGTGAGAGCCCTGTAATTAACTTAATATTAAATTAGATTAGTAGATTTCATTTGTGTCAGCTTGGAGTTGTCATGCTCACTCAAAGGTCTCATTGGCGGTGGCGCGTGCAGTGGATCGCTCGATTCCCTACAATATGGTTGAGTTGGGCGGTGCTGGTGTACGTGTCATGTTCGTGAACGGGCGCCGTCAACTGGGACTGGTCAGCTCCAGACTGTATTACTGTCCTTAAGGTTATTTTCTTTTTTGATCACTTTGACTGGATTTTAGTGTTACATTGTTCTCGCACAATCCAAACAGCAAAACTATGTAACTAGTAAATTGTATTGTGAACCTGATTGAAAAAGAGTAACCTATGGAGTTTCTTGCTCGTTCTTCTCCATAGGAATCTACGCCTTGGAATGAGCAAATAGCTTCACTTTAAATTTTTGTTTTTGTTGACGTTCAAAAGTGCCATTCTGGCCTAATTGAAATAAATGATTTTGACTTTGACTTTGACTTTGACTTTGAAAATACATTGGTTCTGTACAAACAACAATAGTAGTTTGAGATCCGGGATATAGACATAGGATAATTTTCATTGCTAAATCTACAATAAATATAACTTAGGTACTGAATTGATTCTGATGACGTTTGCTATACTTGTAGCTGTACCTTTGATAAGAATTAGGAAACACAAATTCGGCCAATAATTATTCCACGCTGATGAAGTCGCAGGCAAAATCTAGTTTAATTTAACATTTTGAACATTTCTTCGTTACTTATTACATGTTATTGTATCAATTGCTTATTTCATAGACCTCAGTTTTTGAGGTCTGTTAATAGGCACGCTGGCGGCAAATTCTAACAATCCAGCATCTGTAGCCAAATGCCATTTAGCGCTTGTCTACATCTAGAATAGAAAACCAAATTATATGGAATTGACGTAAATTTTGACACTTGTCAGTGTCATCTTTATACATTTAGTTTTCTACTCTCTCTGTAGACAAGCGCTAAAGTGGCGTTTGGCTAAATGCACTGAATAAAAATAATAAATAAAATAAGTACCATGTACCCAGAAGATGTCTTTTTTTGTGTTTGTGGATCCAGTCTGATGAAGGGCCAGTAGATTTCTCCTTTGCCTTTGCACTTGGCCAACTCTACAGACTCACCGTTGGGCATTATAGTGCGCAAAATTGCCACCATTTCTACCTACAAATTAACACATAGACATTACTTACTAAACTCACTTAGATAATAAAAACAATGTGCCTTTAAGTGTCCAACGCAGAAGCAATACCTAGACATTTTACTACATTAATTATTTAATAGTTTTTGCCCGCAACTTCGTACGCGCAATCCTGTTTCTCCCATTCCCGTAGGATTTTCAGGACTTTTTTCAGTCTTAAGAACCTTCTCCTAACGATAACAACCATAATTAAAATAATCAGCCAAATCGGTTTAGCCGTTCTCAAGTTATGGCGTGACAACGGGAAACGGGTTTCATTTCTATATATAGATATTGATTCAAACTTATTAATTTATCTTACAATATTATTAACTAACATATAAAACATTACAAAATTAGGTAGAATCCATTAACATCAACTCATCACATCAACAGCCTATAAGTACCATTATTGACCAAAGGCCTCTTCTCACACGGAGAAGGTTTGAACATTAAGCACCACGCTTGCTCAATGCTGGTTGGCGATTTTAAACTTACAACTTTAAATTAAAAAGTCTAGGTTTCCTCACGATGTTTTTCTTTAATGTTTAATAATAATAATAATAAATAATCTTTATTGTACACCAATTTGAGACAGTATATCCAGGAACAAATAAAGAAAATAGGGTACAAAGGCGGCCTTATCGCTAAAAGCGATATCTACCAGGCAACCTTTGGGTGGATAGAATACTATAGTAGGATATTAAATGAAAAATAATGTTTGTTAATGATGCCTAAATAATCTTACTACATATAACTCTGAAAAAGTCACATTGGTACGTGCTATTGGTAGGTTTCAAACCTTCATGCATAAGAAGCGGGCGTCTTAGACCTCCGACCCACCACGACTATTGAATATTGTAATAAACTAATTTATAATTCGTAGAAACTGCTGAGGTTAAGCTTAAATTCAATAAGTTAATTAGCTAAATATACTTATAGATGGCAGTGTACTGCCTTTGCAGTTGCAGCATTACATGTCTGTTAGAAGTTGTTAACATTTTATTCCTTTGTGTGTCCTTTGTATTATTAATATTCTTTGGAATAACCTAATATATTTTTGGGAACCTATCATATTATAGATACTACTATCAATCATAACTACGTAAGATGTTAAAATTGGGATGATGGCAGTGTATGAAAATTAAAAATCTAATCCGTAAGTTAGGCAATGAAAAAATATTAGCCACGTATTTTTTTCTTGTCGTCTAGTAAAACAACATTTAGATAAAACGATTCAAAGTTTAGGAATGGGGGCTAAAACGTCATTTCTACGTATAAAATGTTGTTAAAAGAAGTGACGTCACGCGATATTTCAAATCAATATATCGTCGTAAGTATTCGTTTCTGTAAGAAATTAAAAAATACGTGTCTAATGATTTTAAATAATCTACAAGACATACATTATGTAGGTGATTTGCGGTTTTACCATAGCCTCTCACAATAAATCGACTATCCAATACATAAAATATACAATTAGAACCAGTTATTCCGGAGGTAAGCGAGTAATTGACAAACAAACAAACTCTAAGATTTGTGTATTAAGTATAAATCAATAAGATAGTGTCAACTAAACATGTAATCTTAACCCGTCGAGCGTCCGCGTTCCTTATGCATTTCCTTGCATGCATGCAAGAAAATGTATTTATTTGGCCATTGGCACACGAAAACAAGAATCAATACAGTAGAAATAAAACAAATACAGTCAAAATAAAAATAAAACATTAATAGTAGATTTTTTAAAAGAGAAAGCAGCGTGGAACATTTTTTCTTATGATTCACCGGGTGCTCATAAGGACACTCGAGGGGTTACCTCCTAAACAAACTCACCTCGGGCGAAGACGCGGCAGCTCTGAAGCTAACAGACTCATGTTTCGTCACAGACAGATGAATACCTCCCAATATATTCCTTCTATTCGGAAAGAAGATTTCGTCAACATGTATCTTCTGTGTTTGAGGAATGAATAGTTCTTTGCAGGGGTCTTCATTGTCACACACATGGAATGCACCATCAAGGCACGACATGACGGTGAGTTGCCAATGGGCGTCCATGTTTATTCCAGTAGGGCGGGTCAGTGTGCCGTGACCTACGACTGTATAGCTGGAAATAGGGTGAGTTTTTTAAAACATAAAGCCATGTGAAGGATGATTCTATTGCCATATACAGATAATTCCAGACTCTGTGCTATTAGGTACTAAAAATCTTCTTAAAACTAAAAAAGGTTATTATGAAGGAGGTAATTCTGCTTTTTTGTCTTATAATTTTATTATAATATAGCGGTATTATTTCGAACTTGTGAATAAGAGAATGGTTGACGAAAGAAAGATATGGAAAAAATATAACAATATAAAAGTAATGCTTACACAGTTTACCGACCTATTTAAACTAAAATTGACATACCATTGAGACTAGTCTATTTATACCAACAATATACCATTGACCACTTAAACAATACAACAATACAAACTTAAACTAATTTAAGTAGATTTGAAACAAGAACTCTTGTTAGTAAATAGTTGCGGCGACATATACGCTCTGTGTATTATTTTCGTTTCGCTCGCTTGGCGAAACGGTATTCGTCACTCCTCGGCGAGCGACGCGGGGCGAGCGTTACTCCCCCTCTCTTCGCCCCTACCGCGTCGCAATGTCGCATCGATCTCGCTCAGTCGCGACGTAGCATCCCTAACATTCACACGTACCTACACAATGTTTCAACCCGGCACATCCATTTTTATTAAACTGGTCAAAAGCAAACCAGTACTATACGACGCAAATCATAGAGATTACAAGAATGTGCACCTTAAGAATAAAATATGGGAGGAAATTGGCGAAAAAGTTGACATGTCCGGTAAGTTTTTTTTTTGTTTTGTTTTTTCGTATATAATTATATTTAGTATTAAAAACGTTGCAATTTAGTACTAAAATAACAGGATATTTTACTTTGTAGATGTATCCTTCTACATTATTTTATTTTATTTAACAATGCAATAATATCACTAACGCAAAACAGTAAGTACCTAATTACCTACATACCGATGTATGTGATTATCTCGTTACTAAATTCTATAACGATAAGTACCTATAATAATATACCTAGTAAGTATTAACTTAAATTATAATGTTTAATAACACATATTATGTTGAATATTAATAAATGAATTGATAATTATTATAACCAATAATCACTACGCGAATAACTTGTTTGTACCGGCGCGCGGCGTGGCGATAATTTTGCGGGATGCGCCGCGCCGCGATAGCGAAATGGCAGCGACGCGTTACGCGCCCGCGAGCGGCACGGGCAGATGTTATTGAGCTGGCAACAACGCGCGCGAGTAACGTCACGCGTCGCGTTCACTTTGGCCTTTGCTCATTCAAGATTTTATTTTAAAACAATAGGGTAGATGCCTAATTTTTATTTTAATGTCCGTCTGGTAGATTTAAATCATTAGACACGTATTTTTTGTTTACTGTTGTTGTATTAAAAGAATTAAAAGCTTAAAATGAATAGATCATTTCGGCTCCATACATTTTTGGGCCTTTGCTGAAGGTAACGTAATAATTACCAGCATCTTGGCCATCGCCTGTAAACACGTGTAAATTCAATTATTTAGTGCGATGGCCAAGTCTATTATAGTCTATTAAGTCAAGTATATTTATATAAAACATTAAATAATTTTAATATTGATTTGCGTCACTATAAGATGCTGTTAATTATTACGTAACAACTTAATGCTTCGAGTACGGAGATTCCAGACACAATTGATTTTCAATTGTTATGGACCATGATCGTGGTCTTAGAAACTGGACGTATTAAGACAGAAAGTGACTGAAGTAGAGACTGAATAAATTAATAACCGACTTGGTATTACATGGATCTCCCAACTTTTTACCGTAGAACAACTGAGTTGCGAGACATGTTTTTTTGACAAGTATTGTTTTTGATGGGATTTAGTTTACTTTTATCTTTCCAGTGATAAAAATAATATCAAATATAAAATAGTTCGTCAACTTTTATATGCACTATTATCGACGTCTGATTAATACTTAAAAAAATATAAAAGACAAATACGTATTTTTATTTTTTCTAATTTATAGCTAATATGAACTGTACAACAAACACTATTTCTTTCACAGGAGAGTTTGCCAAAATGAAATGGAAAAACCTGCGAGACACGTACATAAAGTATTTGAAAACTAACCAGGCAATGTCAACACGCGGTCTTGAGACATCAAGCTATAACCGTTACGGCAAATGGCAGTGGGCTTCAAGCATGTCGTTTATAAAATACCACACTGGTGTACTGAATGACTCAACTCGAGAATTAGGAGCAGCAAATTGTAAAGACACTGAACAAGAGTCAGATAAAGAAGAGGAAAATGCTGCTTCCACAAGCAATAACATCTTTACAAGTAACAAAGTATTCTATAACACCAGAAAAAGGTCTAATTGTATCACTGACTCCCCACCACCTGCTCAAATTTCGAATAGTTTAACATCCACTGAACATATTATGGTAGGATATGCAAAAGCTATCGATAACTTCAGTTCGAAACGCAGACAAATTCTAACCAAGATGAAGATAGCTAATATAATTATGGAAGCTGAATTAAAAGATGAACAAGAAAGAGCAAATGATGTATCTAATATGATAATATCTGATAGTGATGATTCTGTAGATCCTAGTGCCAGTAAAAACTATCATTTAAGAAAGTCTCGACGGACTGTAGGTTCAGATTATAGTAATAGTTTTTCTCCAGTCGATTCGCCAATACAAATGTCTGATCCCAAAAAAGACATTGAAAAAGTCAATTTAGAAGCTGATGGTCCTTTAGTAGATGTTAAATGTAAAATTGAAATTGAAGATACTTAATTGCAATGATAATAGTAGTAGTGAGACCAGTTAGGTTCTGTAAGATGATATTCTGTAAGCGTGGTCCGCCATTGGTCGTAAGAATAATCTCGATCAATGACGGGCGAAATTGCGATCGAGCTGAATTCAAGAGTTCGAATTGACTTTAACTTTGACTTTGAAAATTTAATAAGTGAGACGCCTTTTGAGACAGTGCCTATCTTCAGAATAAAATGATTTTGAAAAGACACGAAATGATTTTTATAATGTTAATTAATTGTAAGCAATAAAGGTTATTTCATTAATGTACAAATAAAAATATGGTAAAATTAAAATGCTTCTGGTTTCATTTTTTGAATAAACTACATAGTCATGCTAGAAACATTATTGGTGCTTGTATAGCCATATATTGATATTTAGGTGTTTTATCTTTGTATGTATTTTGTTGAATTATGGAAGGTTTGGATTCAATTTTATCATATATTTATTGGGCTTTTATGGGTTTTTAAAAATCGCTGAATCTAAGTTTTGAATTATGTGCATTGTATAGCGTAAGGTCACCCTCCTACCACAAAGGCATTATAAAATATGATAAAAAGTGGCATTTAAACCACTAAGTACTCACCCAAGAACATTCGGGTTGATATCAAAAGTGATATGAGAGTTATAGGCCTGAGGTAGCTGGTAAGATGTATCATTATCATATACAGCCACTATACTGTGAGCCAAGTTGCTATGAACTTCAAAATGGACCTTCACTGGCATATGACAATAGAAGACCCCTTGGAAGTATGGAATCCACACGCATTTAGGCGACACTGGAGTTGTTCCAGTATGCTGCTGAAGTCCATATACCCCACTAAGACCTGAGGATACGGAGTAAGCGTATTTAGCTCCAGGGAACATTGAGAAAAATTCGTTCATCACCATAGATAAAGTGTCTATTGTCCCGAATCCATGATCTTGCACCTGCAATTATAAATGAATGATGGTGACCATTCAGGTTACTTCAGAAAGGTGACTCCACCATGAAGGAAATTAATAAAGTTCCTATTTTTGTTTTCAAAAGTTTTTTACAAGAACTTCTGTATTATACATGATAATAAGTTAACAAATCTCTTGAAAAGTGTAACGAGTCTAATACGAAAGTGCATTCTTAAATTTAAATACTTAGAATGACCAAGTTTTGAGTTGCATTATGAACTTTAATTCTAGACGTCTAGTGTTTCAGGGTTAATTACTTCATGCTCACTGTAACGCTTGCTTACAACATTACTTACATATTTAGTGACTTCAGGAGTAAAAGTAACGTTAGCCTTCAAGCATCTCCGAGCCCAAGTACCTCGCCAATGTGACTGCAGAACAATGGCAGCTTCATGTCTTCTTATCATCTTTTCTCTTTCTTCCTTCAAAAGTCCACAGGGCAGCTCTTCTGTTGCCAGTTCACAAACTTGAGATGTTATAGGTGGCTTTGGCTGTTTCAGCAACTGCGCCATTATCTCGGGATCCACCAAAGGCTTTTGATCTTCAACCACCTTTAAGTGTTTAGGAATGTTGATAAATAAAAACATAAATTGGCTAGAACAGAGTTAGAAAAGACCAAATATTATTATACACTTTTCACTATGGAGATTGGATATACGAAACGCAATTTACTACTAAAGGTTACTTCTAAACACTTACCGTTTCAGCTTCCTCGAGCGGTTGTTCCTCAATAAATTCAATCTCCTCAACTTCAGGCATCACACAGTCACATACATCTAGATTGGCAATATCTCTTAAAGATTTCGCTGGTCGAGGTTTTTCAGTAAAACCGAAATCAGGATCAGAAAAATATTTCCTCAGGACATGAGCTACTGCTTTCCATTCTGTTTGGTTCAGAGATTTTTGAAAATGTGACTGGAGCGCTTGCCTGAACATCCAGTGCCGAAGATGAGGGTCGTAGCCAACCACTTCTTTGTCCCAAGGCAGGTCAGGGTCGTAAGATCTGTTAAAATTAGTACTATTTAAATGTAAATGTTGAAATGAGTAAATATTAGTAAAATTTAAAATACAAAATTAACTAAAAATGGCTGGTTTCTCACGTGAATATACTGGAAAAAGCTCTACTATTTTTCTCAGTGTATTCATGTAAGTAACCTACGATTATTAGTTTACTGTAAATAAGTTTTATCTTATAATATTTTTTTGAGAATTAAGATAAATGACAAAATTAAGTTAATTTTTTTGCATATGAATGAGCATTTAATATTACTTTCTAATATTACTGGTGTAATCAAGGAAAGGATTAACAAAGTACCTGAAAAATTCCCTATCAGCTTGTATTATCACACTTGGACTGGAACGAACCACTTTGATCCAGTTTGTAAAAGATGATCCCAAGTTCAAGAGGAACTTTGAAGCCCATGGACATTCGCGGACAGCAGCGCCTTGGATGACATCTTTCGCGCCAAGAAGTAACGTTGAGTCACTGATCACCTTTATACTCCAATGTACTCGAGCATGTACCCAGATTCTGTCAAAAAAGTCATATACAAAATCAAAGTCAAAGTCAAAGTCATTTATTTCAATTAGACCAGGATGGCACTTTTGAACGTCAAACAACAAAAATTTATAAGTGAAGCTAGTTGCTCATTCCAAGGCGTAGATTCCTATGGAGAAGAACGAGCAAGAAACTCCATAGGTTACTCTTTTTCAATCAGGTTCACAATACAATTCTCTAGTTACATAGTTTTATTGGTTCGATTATGTGAGAACAATGCACCACCTAAATCCAGTCAGAAAGACTGAAGTCATTCTTTATTATGGGATAAACCGGTAAACGAGCAGGTGAATCACCTTGCAGGTAAGCAATCGGCGCCTCCAAAGGAGGCAAGAGGCGTTACTAGTTTGTTACTGGGTTTTTGGGGATCACGAATTTGAAGATTGCTGGGGTCTCGGGGACGTTATGTTTTTTACAAATAGGTTAAGTTTAACATCAACATATTTAGTGCTATTTTAGTAGAATACCACTTATTTTAATTCTAGTGCTTAATAGATTTGTATTACCTAAAAAAGTGTCTTCCCGGAGGGAAATCTATCTCAAGTGACTGGTATCTTCTGGTAGTCACAAAGCCGGTAGGAACAGGTAATTCAGCATCTTTGAACCATTCAAACTTTTCTAGGACAAAGTTGGATTTTTCTATGTAATCAGGGATACGAGATCCAGTATTGGCTAAGACCCTGGGATGGATTGAGCTCAAAGACATTCTCAGTTTATTGACTTCTGGTCCATCTAGTTGGAAGTATAAAGGAGCACCTTTCGGAGCCAATATGTCTGTTGTTTTTAATAGAGCAGGCACCTTCATCGAAGGAAGCCTCACTGGTGGATTACTCCCAGCTGACGCGAAGTTGAACGATGATGGGTAGTACATGACGTGGACGTCTTTTACTAAGCTTGCTATCTGAAATATAATTTATTGATAGCCCCTTTTCTTCACTTCTCTAAATCTATGTACATAACATAACATAACATCACGCATTTTATCTCCGAAGGGGTAGGCAGAGGTGCACATTACGGCAACTAATAACACTGTTAAATATAATATCCACTTTCTACTATTTATGTTATGAGTCCCATGTAATAGGGGGTGAGCTTATTGCCATATACCGGGCACAATTCCAGACTCCGGGCTACTACTGAGTATTTTTAAAAACCTAGTAAAATTTGCCCGACTCGGGAATCGAACCCGAGACCCCTTGCCCGGCAGTCGAACTTGCGCCCACTGAGCCAATGAGGCAGTAAATCTATATACCTAAATATAAAATAAAGTCGCGTGACTTACACTATTTATAACTCAAGAAAGACTAAATCAATTTGGCTGAAAATTGATGAAGCGGAGCTTAGAATCAGGAGACGGACATAGGACTTTTTATACAAGGATCCCCCGAAATTCTATGGGAATGGGACAAAACGGGATTTCGCGTACGTAATCGCGGGTGGAAGCTCGTAGCCAATAAACATTAATTAAGGTATGATCGTCTGACGTTACTTCCAAGAACAAGTTAAAGATGTAATGGCAGCACAACTTTTAGTCTTCAAAATGGCACGTAATCCTTTAACTCCCTCATATCGGAATACTCAAACGCTACTCAATTTTAAGTCGCTCTTAAGTATAGTTCTGTCTCCACACAATTCTTTGTATAATGACAGAGATGGCATGATATTTAAGCACGACTTAAACTTGAGTAACGTTTCAGTATTCCGGCATCATTCTATCAGATAATATGCTCAATTACTAACATTTTTCCAAAACCTAATAAATCTTAACTAGACCCGGGAACTGTACTCGAAAATCTCTAAGCAGTAGTACCTAGTACTACTGGGATTTATTACTTCTTTAAGCAGACCTCTGAGTACTGAATCCATTCTCTAAGTTCCTCTTTCAAATGCTGCGCTTGTGCAGCTGCAGCATTCAGTGCAGACTTCAACTGCTCCTTCTTCTTATCTTTTTTCTTCTTGCCATCACTCATATCATCCTTTTATGGAAAAAAATATAATTTTAGTACAATTTCAACAAACTGTTCGAAACATTTACTTGATAGTGGTTTGAGTGGTTTCCTGCGTGGGTTATGTGGTGCATCTCTACTGCATGAGCACATATTTGCGGGTGGGAGAGCGATGATACCGTATGCTTTTTTAATGGGACAAGCCCGCCACAACCTCCCAAACCGCTGCAACTCTTGTAAACCAGGATCTACAGTAGATACAACCATGAAAACACCGGAACACTGAAGTCAGGCGCGTCCCAGAGACATAAATAACTGTCTTGGTTCCCGCAACGAAGTGAATCAGAAGATATTATAAGAGGAGAAGAAAAAAAACGATAGTTTTATACCGCATACTGCAAATTCATTCCTACAAGCCAGCGGAATAAAAGCTAAATATATTCCAGTTAACTAAAATCGCGGGTTACTCACGTGAATATACTGAGAAAAGCTCTACTAGTTTCGAACCACAGAGGGGTTCTTCCAGCGCGGGTAGTGAATCGAACCCACTACCCCGCTGGTGAACGTACCGTGCGCTTTAACATCGTCCAACGCGCCGCCGGAATTGGAAGCAAACGCTTGTAGTGTCCGACAGAGGGCGCGTTGGGCTCGCTGCGCAAGTAGCAACAACGAGGCGAGCGCCAACGCCAGCCAATGAACTGCGCGACGACGCCGCGATCGCGCACGCTACTCATAAGGAAGAACCCCTCTGTGGTTCGAAACTAGTAGAGCTTTTCTCAGTATATTCACGTGAGTAACCCGCGACTTTAGTTAATTTAGTATGTCTCACGATAGTTATTATGAAAACATATACCTAGTTGTTACTGTACCATGGATGTCAGCAAAGGAATGCCTGATAATATTCCATATACCTATTGATTAAGATTTATAAATGAATAACGCCTGAATACTGAAAGGCTACTCAATTTTAAATATAGTTCTGTCACCACAAACTCTTTGTCAAATGACAGAGATGGCATGATATTTAAGTACAACTTAAAGTTACCTTTCAGTAGTTGGGCATAATTAAATCATACTTACCGTGGCGTGTTCTTCTATGAAGCCAAATGTGATCTAGAATCAAACAGAAGATATTGGATTACACTTGATTGAACTTGATATTGATAATATCACCATGCAATGGTTACTACAAATTGACCTCATAACATAAGTGTGTATAGACAAAACAAAACAAAACATCTTCTGCTGTCCAGCGGTGTCCTGCGACCTTTACCAGGCCTTCAAGACAATCTAGGTAATTAAATGTATTCAGCTTACCGATTCAGTGCTCTGAACATCCAACAGATGAGGAGCGTAAGAGAGCTTCAATAGGCCATTAACCTTAAGGAACCTGGTCCTGGGACAGTCGTACATAGCGTAGAGACCGTGTCTTTTAGCCCAGTCGACCCAACGATAGTATTTCCATGGGGCTACCTCTAGAACCAAAAAAGTAGGACGTAAGTATAGTAAAGACAACTGCTTATTTAAGGGTGCATGTACATCTGGCGAATGTGCCGCTCGCGAGCCGTTTGTGGGCTGCCCGCCAGCTGCGGTTCGTATAAAGAATAATTTTAATTGCACGCGCGCAGTTATCGGGCGGCTTGAGAGGGGCTCACGAGCTGCGGATTCGCGAAGCATTCGTCAGATGTGGACGCACCCTAAGAGTAGATGATAGATGATACTTCTTTTCTCAACGAAAAAGTAAAATGACTAAAATACCTACTTCTTGTAATTAGTGAAAACTAACGAATACCTACTATCTGGCAACTGCAGAGGGCAAAGTTACTGTTATAGCACCCAATCAAACTTTACTCGACATAAAAGTTAAATAGCATGCCCTTCAGGTAGTCACGCTTGCGACCACTGGATCAATAGATATTAATTTTAGTATTAACTCATTTAAAATGCATAATGTAAATTTTGTGTGGGAGAGCCATTACTTCGGCACGAAGGGCCGGCTCGACCGGAGTGATACCTGATACCACGCCCTCACAGAAAACCGACGTGAAGCAACGCTTGCGTTGTGTTTCGTCTAGTGAGTGAGGTTACCGGAGGCCCAATTACCCTCCCCTTCCCCAATCTCCCCAATTCCCGAATCCCCAACGATCCTCAAACTCCTAATCCCCAAAAGGCCGGTAACGCACTTGTAACGCCTCTGGTGTTCCAGGTGTCCATGGGCGACGCCGATTGCTTACCATCAGGTGATCCGTCTAATAATTTACCAGCTTATGAAACAAAAAAAAAATTTAGATATCGATTTTTGATATTATTGAGAGTCCACCAAAACATTTTAGCAAAGACACTCAACCTGGTTCTGGCAAAGGTTTCTTCAGAGGTAGATCCCTGGCCATCATGACGAGCAGGCTCATCTCATGCCCTGGCGTTATCCCTGGGAGCTGGTACGGAGGGCAGTCTTTGGTGTCCATGAGAATAACGTACGTCACACAGGTTCTCTGAAAAACAAATTTAATCGTAGAACGACTGTGATAGTCGTTAATTGAGTGAGATAAAAAATCTGTGGTTCACTCAAGTCAAAGACGATTTTGGAGTTTTTGATTTGTGATCTTAGTCACGTGGGCGTCTGAAATTGTGTTTGTTTATAGGTTATAACATTGTAAATTATGACGTCACAAAGTTATGTAAACACATTATGACGTGTAATAAAAATACTTATTTACAAAACGGCACCCTTAAAAATAAATGGCCTAAGCATGACGGCTTTAATACCAAAGTGAGGAAAAACGACAATATCCTGGAAAAACTGAAAAATACGAATATTACAGGCTTGATTACGTTTCAGACAACACATGTGACTCCCGGGACACGTTAAAAATACAAATGACGTAATAAACGCTGAAGCATTCAGTTTTTTGAGGTTTTAGTCTTATAAAAAAGTCAAAAATATTTAACTTTTAAATAGTATCTTACAGGAGTTCGCTAGAGGACAATATGAATTAATTTTAAAATAGATTTTTTGTTACAAAATGGACTGCCTCATTGGGCAAGTAGTCGCAAGTGCGACTGCCGGAAATGGGGTCCCGGGGTCAATTACCGGGTCTAAAAAAATTCGGTATTTAAAAACAATTCTCAGTAGTAACACGGAGTCTGGAACTGCGCCCGGTATATGGCAATAGGTTCACCCCCTATTCCATGGAACTCATAACATTAATAGGGAAAAGTGGGTGTTACATTGGACAGTGGCATTGTACACCTCTGCCTATCCCTTCGAGGGTAAAAGGCGGGATGTTATAACACAAAATTTCAGCTCAATTGATTGAAGATACCTGCTACAAAATTTGGTAGCAGGATTCCATTTAACACACAGTCATTGCAAGTTAAATGAGAACTTGATTAAAGGACTTACCTTAACTACATTTAAATCCTTAGTAGTAGGTTTCTTAGTGCTTCTAGACTTGATGGTACTAGCCAGCGTCTCATCATCATCATCCCAAGTGAACATTGGTACTTCGGTTGTTATCCTTATCCAAAGATCTTCGGGACCTTTGAAACAATTACATTATAAGGTAACTTCAGATAAAACTGCTTCGTTAAAGAGTATGGAGCCTAGTTTGTTCATCATAGTAATATTTTTTTTAATGGTATAAGTCGGTAAACGAGCCGACGGATCACCTGATGGTAAGCAATCGGCGGGCGACGCGTATGCACACCTAAACACTAAATGTGTTACAAATGCGTTACCGGCCCGTTGGGTATTAGGAATTCGGGGATTGGGAAGATTACGGAGGGGGTTGTTTGAGGCTCCGGTAAGCTCAGTTACACTTCGATCAACAATAGCAACAAGATAACAGTTACTGTGCCAATGTTTACTGTGCCAACATTTATAGTCCTTTGTTAATAATTCTTTTAACTACGTTTAGAAAAAACGACTTTAACCCCCTCTTTTTTTAAGCCGGTTAATTAATATCTATACTAAAACCTTCTCCTAAGTGTAAAAACCACTTTTCTGAACACCGCATCGAAATCAGTGTCGCCAATCGTGAATAATCGTGCACAAACATACATAGAGGTCTAACTGAGTTCCTCCTTTTTTAAATCGATTAAAAATACTTATCATTTAACTTACCACCAACTTCATAAGAAATATTGACACAGCCAGTCAACGCGTGCATGATGTTGAAGTCATGCAGCGAATCATCTTGCACGCAACCAGGGTCATCGGTATCAGTAGCCACGTCAGGTGCAGCCAGCTTGAGCAGAGCCTGTTTGATTTTGATTAGCAATGAGTTGCTCCCGTGCTGAGAATGTTTATTTATGTAGGCGGTAGTTTGGAGTCACTGTTTTGATGTAGTTTAAAATTATACGTTGTTTGAGTGATAAGTATGGTTATGATGCATTGAAGGGTTACACAGATGATGCCTTTAGCGCCTAAGCAAGTAAATGGAAAAGAAAATGAACGAAAATTTTATTTTAGAAGCAACGTAAAAGGTACTTATTGTAAAATTAAAAAAAAATGCAATCATTGTATTCATAAACTCAGAACTATCGGTAATAGTTACTTTATTTATACTTGGTTAGTATTGAATCATTACTGCATTCAACATACATACATAACATCACGCCTTTTATCCCTGAAGGGGTAGGCAGAGGTGCACATTATGCCACTGTACAATGTAACACCCACTTTTCACTAATTATGTTATGAGTCCCATGTAATAGGGGGTGAGCCTATTGCCATATACCGGGCACAATTCCAGACTCCGTGCTACTACTGAGAATTTTTTAAAAACCCAGTAATACTTTGCCCGACCCGGGAATCGAACCCGAGACCCCTTGCCCGGCAGTCGCACTTGCGACCACTCGGCCAACGAGGCAGTCTGCATTCCAATGACATAATAATATCTAATTCAACAAATTCGGCCAAGATCTAGTCCAGTAACTATGAAAATTAGACTCAAACAAAACAAAATACCTATCAATAACCACAATCCAATAATTTAGTATCTAACAATTTTTAACTTTACATAACGTTTTGTTGCGTAAATTAGGTAAACAAACTATTTTATTTAAAAAAAAATTTAATAAGTGGGGAATATCTTCGAATGACTTCTCCTCGCCGAGGCGGGAGGAAATATCTGATACTAATTGACTAAAAACTACCCCGTTCCTACTCCTGCGCTTCGAGCCGGAGCCCCGGCAACCCGTCTCCGCGGCTCCGTATCGCCATCAGCCTTATTGGGCCACATCCATGGTGGTCTGATGACTCTTTGAGGCGCGAGCTGAACGCGACGCGCCCCGTACTCTCAGATATAACAGACCTATGGTATTGACTTAATTAACATAATATAACATAACATCACACCTTTTATCCCCGAAGGGATAGGCAGAGGTGCACATTACAGCACTTAATGCCACTGTACAATGTAACACCCACTTTTCACTATTTATGTTATGAGTCCCATGTAATAGGGGGTGAGCCTATAGCCATATACCGGGCACATTTCCAGACTCCGTGCTTCTACTGAGGTTTTTACAAACCCAGTAATACTTTGCCCGACCGGGGAATCGAACCCGAGACCCCTTGCCTGGCAGTCGCACTTACGACCTTACTTTATAATACTTTAATTTACAAGCATCCAGTAAGATACCTCTGTCACCATTCAAATGCTTTCTCATAAAGAATTCTAAGGTACCACAGCTCAATTACCTAGCTAGGTTGTGGTTTAGAGAAATAAATCTCCAATTTATTTCGCAATAAAGAAGCGGTTACAAACACAAGTCTCGTCGCTAGACGAACGACGCAAAAGCAAATGTTTGCACGTTATTCATAGTACTTTTCAGACAGACGCACATGGAAATACCCTAAAATGTAAGATATAATTTAAAGGGTTTTCGACTTTATTGCTATTGATGTTAAGGTTGGTAATCTAATGAAGATTTTTGACAGGTTATAGTAGGTTGATGCGTTTGCTTTGGTATATGAGGCGGTGGTTTAATATGCTCAGGTTTTCTGATAATCTGGTTTGTTATTACATGGGGTTATAGGAATAGAAATAGGTGTTATATTGTTCTCATAGGTAGAATGTGATGTTGGTATGTCTAACTACTTCGGTGGTCCAGCGGTTTCAAGTGCTAACAAGATAACTAGGTCTAGATTTCTGACTGATGATATCAACACAAAGTTCTAGTCTACACAGGTTATATTCTTGGGTAGAACCCAGGAATAGAACTTAAAACCTCTAACTAAACAGTCGTATCTACGACTACTGAATTTAAAACTTTATGGGGATTGTAAAATAATACTGCCTCGTTGGCTGAGTGGTCGCAAGTGCGACTGCCGGGTAAAGGGTCTCGGATTCGAACTCCGGGCCGGGCAAAGTATTACTGGGTTTTAAAAAAAATCTCAGTAGTAGCACGGAGTCTGGAATTGTGCCCGGTATATGGCAATAGGCTCACCCCCTATTACATGGGACTCATAACATAAATAGTGAAAAGTGGGTGTTACATTGTACAGTGGCATAATGTGCACCTCTGCCTACCACTTCGGGGATAAAAGGCGTGATGTTATGTTATGATTGTAAAATAATAAATCGGTGTTACGAAGCGGAAAATGGTCACCTTTCGTCAGACGGTTGTAACAAAATATCTATACTTGACTTTAATAGTACAAATGGCAATGATCTGGTTGTTTGTGCTGAATCGGCACTAAAACTTCTGGATGGATTTCACAAATTCTGATTCTGTTGATGTAAGAATTGTCGTGGCTGCTCACAAACCAGTTCCATATATTTAGCTATACATAGGTACGTCAAGTCGATGGTTAAAACAGTATTTTTATGTAACATTTTTTAGTCGCTAATACACTTGCATGTGGACAACACGCATTTCATTTTTCCACTCCCCTGCTCGTCGAGTGAACCTTATTACAAACACCATATGGTCGAAATTCGAGCCGGATACAACAGTCAAGTCGTCGAGCCAGGAGAACAAAAGGCCGCATTCCTAAGCAGCGATAAGCGAACCTTTTTTTTTTGCACCTATTCAATTCCACGAATTAGCAAGTTGTTTACTACAATTTATTAGAAGACGTCATTACGACATTACACATCGGGAATCAGCTGCATTAGAGGTTCGTTATCAAGAAAAATGTGTTCGACCGAAGAACAACAACAACTTCTCTCCGTGTTGGAAGATACTGCTAACCTGTTACAGAAGACTCAAAGTAACCTGAGAAAATGTCCTAAACAACGGTTAACTAAAGGTTATATCGAAGCGCGAATGAAGATTATAGATGAATATTGGCATACATTTAAGTGTGCTCATCAAGATTTAGTGAAGATAACACCAAAAGCTCATAAAGGGACTTTGCCTTATTTCATGAATGATGAATTTTTTATCTATGAAGAATTATACAATGTGCTACAAGGTGACTTGAAAGATATGGTTACTGCATTATCGGATCTTATGAATCAGGGTCAGCGAATTCTAGTTGTAC